CCAGATACAACTAGAACAGACAGGTTTTTTTTAAAAAAAAGCTTTTCCTGGTTATTTGGTTTGGGCTTGTTTTGTTTTGTTTTGTTTGTTTGGTTTTTGTTTGGTTGGCTTTTTTTTCTGTATTCTTACCAGTGACAATACATACCAGGAAACACTACTGAAAAGGTTTATTCATCTGTTTTGTTTTTTTTTAATTTATTTCCTATACAAGCAATAGACTTTTTGGAAAGAATCTGCTCTGCCAGAATTGCTCAGAACTTTCATATGTAAGTCCAAAAAGGTGGACAGAGTAAAGAAAGGTTTTATTTTTAAAACAGGAAAAACGATTTGTAACCTCCTTCCACTCTAAAACAAAACAAAACCAAGAACTGTGCAGAGACTTCCATAACTAATGCAGTCTGAAAAGCAACATTTATTCAGTATTTTTAAAGGACAGCATTCCTTTGAAAAGCTGTAACTAAAAATAATTAATTTGACAGTCCAGCTGAGATATGTTTATGTCCCTATCTGCTTCTAAATCCTGTGCTAAACAAAACAGGGTGGGTTTTGCAGCTGTAGTCATGCACTTAAGACACTCAAATAACGTCAACTATAAATAAATGAGCAATTTACTTTATGTTTACACTAAAAAATGTTATACATACTCAATAATGTATTCAGCATGTTACTTAATTCAGTGCATCTGAATTTCCATATTCTTGCACTACTTTTTAATGCTTCAGTCCAGCAATTAGCATACTGAATCTTATTAAATATATTGAAGATGCCTTTTTAGTTAGTACAGTGAAAATATACACCTGCAAAACATTTTTTAAAATACAAATAATTTAAGAAACATTAAGTGCTACAGAAGCTGTTACCATCTTAATACACTAGACAAAACAGAACCCATTAAAATAAATACCTACAGTGGCACCATCCAACCAGTTTGATTTGCAGACAACCTGTAAATCTTTCACTGGAAGGAAAGATCCCTGTAAGGCTAATTGAAACCCACTGAGGATAAGTTTGGACTTTTTTTCTACTTATCTCTCATAATCTTGAAAATCTCTCCCCAGAAACCTCAGGGTGGACCAGAAGCTGAAAGCCAGTCTCTGTGGTATTATAAAAAAAAAATATTCAGTCTGGTATGCTTCAGAACCTACCAGTCACACTGGGCAAAAACCCTGACCTTGCTGACGTGACCAGATACTTTTCATTTAATTCTTAATTTATCACAGAAATAATAAAATTCATAAAAGGAATGTACTCAATTACTTTTCGAACACTGTTTCCCAGTGGAACCAAGGAAAGTCAAATCAGGTCAAAATCAAAGACTTCTAGATTTCACTCTGACTTCTGCACAGTATTGCATTTACACATGTAGGGGAGGGGAAGGTATTTTGGGCCACCACATCTCTGCTTCTTGGTAGCTAATCCACACATTGTGGTACAATGGCACATCTTTCTGCCTTCTAGACTTAAATCCACTGAACACCAGCCTCCACCAGCTCATTCTCCCAGACCAAAGGAAATGCTCCAAAGCCAAACTGAACCATGTGCCTCTGCAGTCATTCCCATCTGCTCTAGTCACTACCTACCCTCACAGGGACACCTCCCATCCCATGGTCAGAGATGCAACATGCTCCTATGACACATGAAACACATTGCAGATGCACAGCACACATTTACCCTTCCTTCTGCATCAAAGTTGGTTTTGCCTTTGATATATGTTCATTTAAATTTTCATTTTTTAGAATGCTGAGCCTTCCATAAATGAGATTCAGGACTATAAATGCAATGATGAAGTTAAAAGAAGTTCTATCACAAAATGCAGTATTTTCACCTCTTGCCACAGAATAAATGGAATATGCTTATTTTAATCCATGTAGTTCTCCTTAGAAACCACAAAAATTGAGGCTGTTAATTAAAATAATATGGCAACCACTTCCTAGCTGTAAACTAAAAAAAAAAAACAACCTTGAAGCAATTGTAAAAACACAAGCGTGGCTCACGCTACAAAGCACTTCATTCTCAATTATTGTTCAATGCGATGACTCATGCAAGTCCACCACTGAAATGTGTGTGTCAGTAATTCAGTCCTGGGGACTCTTCATTCTTATTTGTTCTGATATGCTACAGGCGTGCTATTACAGTCAAAAAAGGATCTGTGTACCAAAAGGAGGTTTCAGTGAATCTCTTCAGCAATCATAAAAACATTGCAAAAATACATCACTAGCATCCACCTTTGTGACCCACTTAAAAATATTCTCACGTTCTTGCCAAAAGCACAGTGCTGCTGCATTACCTCTTCCAGATTTTTACCCTAAAACTGAAATACAATGTACTGCTCTGCCCACAGTATATTGCTAATTATACCCCAAATGGAAAGAATTTAGCTTCTGTATTTTCACCTCTTCCACTCTGTTCATTACAGCATTTCACACTTTATAATTGAATGCATACTAATATTAAAGCAGCAACGTATGTCAGAAAAGCAATAAACTTGACTTGTCACACTAGCTTCATCTCAGAATAAAATATGTAGAAGTATAAATCACCATTTCTGGGAACAAGACAACACAATGTGATCGTAGAATTGGTCAGTGAAACACACCGGCTCTTAAAATTTTAAGTCGATCACATCCCTTTGGGCACATTCTGTATAACCAATGTAGCTTTAATCAGACGCATATACCAGGAGATGCTTGCAAAATTAGCATTTTCCACTGTGTAATGCAGTACACCGAAGAGACAAGGTTGTTGGTTTGCTTTTTTAACATGAGAATGGGAAAACAAAACATTTACTACTTCTTATGCAAGTATTAGCAATAAGTAGTGTTGTTCAGCGTTTTCTTTCTTTTAAACAATCTCTTGGACAGATTTAGAAGGAAAGGTGTTTTCTAAAGAAAAAATTTTCTTGCCCATTCAACTACTTATCTTTAACAACTAACAAATCCTGTATTACAGTTTCATTCCTACCAAAATCAGTAGGATTCTCATATAAAAGTATAATATTCAGTAAGCCCGGTGAAGAGTGTTGTATAACATATCACCTTGAAAGGATGAACTTTCTTCTACACCAATGCTCAAAAAAATATTCCAGCAGGAAAATCTGATAGCAGCTGCAGACCCATCACAGAAAGCTAGTTGCACTAAAGCCACTTCTCCCTTCAGTACAACACATTTTTGACCCCACCATATCCGTTTTATACTGCCATACAGATATATAAATTGGTAGTCTCAGTTTCACCTTTCACACCTTTTCTGCTACCAGGAAGATTATTTACAGAAACAATAATTTTTATTAATAACAAGCTTAACCCAGCATATTTTAAGTGCACAAATAAAAAACAAAAACAACAACAAAAAAAACCACAAACATTTTCCTTTCATCTGAGTGTCTCTCATGTCAATCACTGTTAGGTGAAAGGATGCACAAACAGTACAGCTCAATCCACACAGCAATGATGCAGTGACCCAGAGAATCTAATGGCCTAATGGCCAACTGAGTAAACAAAGCAAAACGAGCTAAAACCAAAGGGCAGCATGCACATTAGCATCTTCTCCACTTAACTGGTATATACTTAAACCTAGTCCCGTATTTCCACATCGTGCAACAAGACTTCACATTCCAACAAACAGCACTTCCTCCATTGTTTCCAAGACACATATTATGCAAAAGGAGAAAAATAGGTGCCCAGGTTCACAGAAAAGTTAGAGAAGAAAATATGGAGAAATGAAGAGTGATCATCGTACCACATATTTCAAAAATAAAATCCAGTTTGCAATTGAAAATTATACTGACAACCAGAGATGGTTCAAAACAAAATTCTGGATTTAAACATCATTCTTTCCTTTAGGAAAAGGTGACTGTAATTTTTTGAATGAACCTGATACAAATATATACATGAATCTGTCTCTCAACAATAAATATAAAAGTCTATGTATTTACAATACACCCACACACCTGCATATAGACAAAGCCTGTGAAAGCAATTATTTAAGACTAAATATTTTCCCCCTGCTTCCCTTTTTCCTTAAAAAGAGGTTTGTTATTAACATTAACATAAAAAACAAAACCACCCACTTCTAAATCTTTGGTGCACTTATGTTAAGAGGGCAATATTAGAGTAAATGAGTAAGTAGCACAAAAGACAAGAAAAAACACATTGTATCCTTGCTTTTAACTTCAGTACATACAATGTAATTCCACTCACTAACATAAAAGCAAAGCTTTCTTTTCAAAGAGCACACCCAAACACAGCCCAACTAAAAAGCAGAAACACACTAAGTCCTCACACACATCCAAGACGCTCAGTACACTACTAGGCATCATTTGCACTTTCCATGAAGCATTACGCAGAGGAGAGAGATGCCAGGAATATGGTAAAACACAGCTGAAATATTAGCTTTTACCAACTGATTTGTTCCTTTCAGAAAAAAAAAAAGTTTTTGTATCATTGTAGTCACAACAACGCCTTGCACTCTGAAGTTACAGCATTTTACTGCAGGGCATCTCGACATTTTTCTGAGAAGTTCCACTTGCCCCTTTTTCTAACAAATTAGAAGTTTTTCCAGAGATGACAGTTTTCCCCTGCCACTGGCTGTTCCAGTTTGCAGCTTCTAGAAAACTGGCAGACTTCAACCAAACTCCTCTCCCACTCCCCTGCTTTTCCATTAGTCTTCCAAGTCAGACTTTAATACTGTGTAAAAGCAGTCAACTATCACAACTTTTAAATCCCTTAACACATGTTTATTGAATCTGCCTGGGAACTGGGAGGTGCTGGAGAATGAAGGAGAAAATAGTCCAAACCAAAACCAGACCCGTTTCCAGAGAACCTCCTCCTCATCAGCCTCATGTGCTTGAATTTACTAGAAAGACTCCAATAGATCCCAATCACATTTGGATTAGTCTTCAGCCTCCTTCATATAGTCCTGTCAAATTTCAAGCAGAAATACTACCAAAAAAAGAAAGCTTGCTATAGTTTCCTTTAAAGCGTAACACACATGTTGCTTACCTCGCTGTTGTGGCCCCTCAAATTGAAGTTGATTCTCTGAGGGGTGTTCCGGTCCCTCCTGCAATGGCTGGAAGTAAAAGTGACGCCTACAACTCCTCTGCCATTGCCTGTTGCCAACCAGCCTTCCTCATAGTACCGCCTCCTGCACACCGGTTTCTCCTTCTCACTTTTGGGGACTCTCCCTTTCCAGGAGAGGCAGAGGATGTTGGAATCGCTGCAAAGAACAGGCCCATGTTCCACTGCTGCATACATGCTTTTTAAATATTTTATTTTTTGACATAAGAAAGTAATATGTCTAGTGCACAAAATTTAAATCAATTTTTTTTTTTTTTTTTATTGATAAGACTGACCTGGGATAGATCATTGAAAGGGAGGAGGATGGGGTCAGTGTTTATAAATATCCACCAAATGCATAGTGAAAAATTCCTCTATAAAAGATGATGGCAGTTGGCTAAGAAAAAGTAACACTTAAAAAAAAATTCAGGTTCATTTTTGTTTTTGAGTCTGTAGAGTGAGGGTGCACTTATCCTTTGGAGAAACAGCTACTTCATAAGAGGCGCTCAAGAAACGGTTAAGTCATCTTTTTGCTCAACTTGATATAATCTTTATACAGCCTGAGATTCCAGTTTAGTGTAATGCAATTCCAGAGACAAAGAGTTGCAAATGTGTAGGTTTCAAGTAACTTAAGGCTTTTAAGATTTCCTCCAGTCAGATTTTCTTCAAAAGTTCAGTTGCAGAAATTTAAACACACGCACATACATATATATGTATATATATGACATTCATCTTTTCCAAGCTGCCCTCTGGCATATCTTTTCCAACTGATGTATTTCTGCTGCTAAAGCTGAAAGAGATTGCATAAAGGGAAAAAAAGGCACACAAACCGTGTGAAACAACAGACCCGAACTTGTGCAGGCACTGATGTGCCAGGCCAGTTGGGAAATCCCTCTTGGTACTGAACCGCTTGTTGGACTCAAAAGTTTTTGCAATCCAAAGCCAATCCAATTTTCATCGCAGCACTTTTTTTCCACCAGAGACCCAACACAGCCTGAACTGTTTATCACACTATCTTGCCTGCTTTCCCACTTTTTGCTGCCACACACGAATGAAAAAGAAACCCCCTCTTCATTTATAGCAGAATCAAAAACGCTCTAAAGCTTTTAGCTTTCAAAGCAGGTAAGTTTGCCTCAGGTGAACCATGAAGTTCTCTCTCCTCTGAAACAGGCTAAAATGTCAAGCTGTTTTTCCTTTACTTTTCCCTTTTTTCTGCTACAAGGAATCACAGACTTTTCATCCTACCGTAAAAAACAAATGCCAGAATTAAAGCACATCAAGTAAGCACTCTTTCAAAATCTTCTAAAATTCAAGGAAGGAAGAAATAGAATCATTTAAAAAAGAAAAAGAAGCAGCATTAAAAATCTGACTTCCTGGGTTCGCTATTTCTCTAGGTATTTTCTTTGCTTGTTTGATCGGATCTTTCCTTCTTGATGCTTGTCTACAGCACAGATTCATAGTTCCAGACACAACATTTGCAGCTGTACAAGAAGGAAACATATGAAGTATTCCAATCGTTTTATTTGAATAACATTTATGAGCTCAATTAATTAGTATTTATACCACACTAAGTGAAAAGAGGAAAAAGGAGAGGGAGAAAGAATATGCAAGTTTGATGACCTGGTGAACTCAAGAAGGACAACGAGGTTTGCTCAGTTCAATGCCCAGACTTGTCCCATAGTTCCTCAGCTTATTTACTTCCAGTCATCATTATTCAACATATGGTCATGATTTATTAGTCCATTCACAATCTATTGAGCCCAAAACAAAATGTGCCAAAGACCACACATTATTCCTCTGCAATAACAAAGTCCGTTTCCTCTACCCTCTGTATTCTTGTTTCCCTCGCAGCTATTGATTTAGATTGTGGAGGTATTTATTCAGCTTTTTCTGTGTAGAGGGTGTTTTTTCTTCCTCTTTTTGCAAACTTGTTTCACCTGTGAAGACCATGTGGAAAGCTGAACATTACTGGCAGGTGTCTTTCCATGGGTTACTGATTCCTGTGCTGTAAAGGTGCTCCATCTGGTTCTCAAATTAATTTTCATCAATTGCAAAGCTCTCAGGAATATGCAAGAGTAAGTCTATGTGATGACAAAAACATGTGTGTTTTCATGTACATGCAGTGCACACATCAGCTCACTCAATCTGGTACTCAGAGCTGCATCTGCCTTTTCAGTTTAGTTGTGGTAATCTTGTAAAATGCCCGTCATTCAAAGCTTGAAATCCCTGGATTCTTCCAACTCTGAAAGACAAAGCACACACACACACAGAGAGAGAGAAAAAAAAAAAAGTCAATAAAATAAGCCACAGAACAACTTAAAGGTACAAGCACTATTGTTACAGTAATTAAAGTATTATGATTAAGGATTTTACACTGGATTCCTATAAATTATCTGTATCATATATAGATACATGCAATATTCAGACACACACATATAGTTATTTGATACACACACAAATATGAACTATAGAATTTTCTTTTTCACTTCCAAAGTTCCCCAAGCTTTTCACAATTGACATGTATAACTTATAAAATGTATCCAGGAAGGATCCATCAAGAGAAAAAAAAAATAGGAAATTTCTTTTGACCAGTTATTGGGGCAAACTCTTAAAGAAAGATTCCACAACTTTAGAGTGAGGGTAGGGAAGCGGGGTCTCAGTGACAGAGCAGGGACAGAGTTAGACCCCGAGGCACACAAACAGAATCACAGAATGGTTGAGGTTGGAAGAGACCTCGGAACATTATCTGGTCCAACCAGCCTGATCAAGCAGGGTCACCTAGAGCCAAGTGGCCCAGGACTGTATCCAGGAGGCTTTTGAATATTTCCAAGGATGAAGACTCCACAATCTCTCTGGGCAACCTGTGCCAGAAATAAAAACGTATTTCCTGATGTTCCGACGGAACCTCTTGTGTTTCAGTTTGTGCCCACTGCCTCTGGTCCTGTCACTGGGCACCACTATAAAAAGCCTGGCTCCCTTATCTTCATTCCCTCACATCAGGTGTTTATACACATTGAAAAGATCTCCCTGAGCTGCTTCTTCTCCAAGCTGAACAGTCCCAACTCTCTCAGACTTTCCTCATACGAAAGATGCTCCAAAGCATGAAAGTACAGTGCTAAACTTATCAGTCCCAAAGGAGACAGAAGATTCCCCCAGGGCTTAAATTACTGCTTTAAAGAGATCTAAGGTACTTCAAAATTAAAGCTTAGAAGTTTGAATCAAGACAGATGAATTTTAGAGACTACTCAAATTCTGCATAAGTCTCCTTCTAAAAAATGGGTAGAAAGTTCCCCAAAGTCAGTTATATACAGAAGAGTGTAAATACAGTAGAAGAGATCAAGCAAAAGGCTGTCCAGGATATTCCAGAAGTTGTATCTGAAGTGCACACATATGCACAGTTGTTGCATCGATACAGTTACTGTTAAAGAGACCTCATTTAAATTAAGAATTGCATTCATGACAGACATCACAGCTGTAAAAATGGTCTTGTCTGTATTACATACAGCACTGTACTAACCTCACATTTTGAGTAATTAACCATTTTTTTCAGTCTAGTATAGATGTACCAATAATATTAAAAAAAGAGAGAAAAATGTAAGAAAACAAATTTACAGATATAAAGGCAACGTCATAAAGTGGTGTACTACACTATTTGGCTAGCACACTCAACAGGAATACTGCCCATGAAGTTTGGTGAGTCACTACCAGAACTTTCCAGCATCACTACTTATTGAAAATTTTAAAATAATGGCTGATACCGATTTTTTTCATCATAGCATAATGAGGATATGCAAAATGTCACCTAGACTTTCCAGATTTATGGTGCTTCTAAATTACAGTCCAAAGAAAGTTCATATAAAGGAAAATTCAGAAGAAATTTCAGAACACAAGAAGAATCTCTGCGCTTATCCCATAAGCAAACTTGCCACTATCAAGGATCGGCACTATTATTTTCATACCCACTGGGGTCTTTCTAACAACCGTCTGCATTCAAGAACTGACATGTTATATTAGCAGCATGTCTGTTATGATGCAAGCCTTTACTAATCTTACAGAGAAACAAACAAAAAAAATGGTTTACTGAGAAAACAGAAGGTCTCTGAAACACCAGTTAGAGCAGCATGAGGTAAGCATTGAACAGAATTGCTTGAATTGTGCAAGTACCATGACTTTACAAGTGGATTTTAAAATGCAAACAGCTATAGATGCAGTGCATTTGCACAAAATCTGTATGCAATTCCTGTCCTTACTCACTGCGTATAAAATTAACAAGTTTGAGAAAAGGACTCTTCTGTGTCTTGGCCAAAAACCTTCTCTCAGATGAGTTCCACTTACCATCACTTTCAAGATTAGACAAACCAAAGTCATCTCCTCTTACAAATATCCTAACTGCATTAGGAATGCTGGACAGGGAGAAATGAAAATCTAAAATAACTACAAAAGGAATAAAGTCAGTCATTATTCAAATACCTCTCTCTCAATACAATAGACCCTACAAGAATATTTTACCTTTAAATCACTGAGGGTCAATGCTTCCTTTATGTTGTACTTATATTCAGTAGACAAGATAAAAAATACTTTCACGACTGTAGTGTCAAACACTATCAAAAAGGCTGAATTAAGATTACATATATTATATATTAAGATTTAATTATTTCCATTCCCCTCTCCTTCATTTCCACCCACTCAGTATTTCCTAAGAAAAAAACTAATTGAAAGATTCAGATGCTAGCCCTCCCTCAAAAAAATCAGTGACTAATTTAGACACCCCTCCTCTTCTGCCATTCCAGCAGTTCCACAGTTTTGCTCCTTTTCACATGTTAGAACCAAGTTTTTTGCCTTCTTTTTCCCTACCATGAAACATCAGAGTAACGGCGGCTACTTCAATTGTAAAGCACGTGTAAGAGCTGAGGATAAAAAGCATTATGGAAAAGCTAGGTGTTACTTGCACAATCTTACCACTAATCTGAATTCAGTTTGGTCTCCCCTTATAGAGAATTTGGTCTTCCAGATGAAACTCATCCAAACTAAATTTTTAACTGCAGATTTTTAAAAAACAAACTTGATGCATCTTTTCTTTCAGAGCAGTGCCAGAGCTAATCACAGAAGTACACTGGATTCTAAAAAAAAATGTACTATTTCTGGCATTACCAGGACACTAAATATCAACAAATTGCAGTTGCCTACTTTTACTCTCACTTAAAGGGCAGCTGAAAAATTGCTCTGGATTTTTCCCTTTAACAAAGGGAGATGCTACTTGAACTCATTCTCTAATACTGTTTTGAGTCTAAACCCAGTGATGTAAAATGCTTAAGTACAGACATCTGATTAAACAAAAACATATTAGACCTGTAACACAGGAAAGAAAGATCCACAAGTATTTTATTTGATTTTGCTTTGACAGCACAGCTCTTCTTGAATGCAAAACCAGCAATGTTATGTTTCCACATTACAGAGATAAATTTAGGTATTAATTTTTTAAAGTGAGCCTATTAACAGTGGCTCTCATATTTTAGTGTCAATATTTAACTCATCATTTTTATATAAGTTAATGGAAACAGTTAGAAGATAAAGTGTAAGTGTTAAGCCCCAGTTGGACAATCAGAAAAATATTTGCTTTTTCTCATGCATCTTTCAATGAGGTGTCTCTTTTGTTGACAGAAAGAAGTCATGCACCAGCAAGTGTACCAATACTGCAGCGAGCTCTTCAGCATTTTATGTTTATTCAAAACCCCACTCTTCAAGGCTCCAGAGCAGAGTATCTGAAGGTGAGGATAAAAGGAGACCAGGAGGGGAAGGAAAGCATAGAAGGAAAATTGAGGTGAGTACACACTATTTCTAAATTATTATCTTAAAAAAATCAAAACAAAACAAAAAAGGACTCACAGCCTACATTTTGGATTCTGACTGCCCAATCATCTTATGGAATGAAGAGTAAGCTACAGTGTTTGAAAAGTCAAGCTACCAGATTTCAGGATTTTTCAGTCTAACCAGATTTCCTTCCTGTCAAGCTTGCATACGGTCAAAGGAAACTGCAGTTTTGCCTCCCTTTACAGTCTAAGAAGGAAAAAAAACCATGAAAATAGCAAGATACTTTTAAAAAATGTGATACCACAAACTTGCATTTTGTTCTGAAGGATCAAACCACAGCTTGGTTCTGCACAAGCTGATGGCAGATGATCCTACCAGCTATCAAATGGGGACTGTGGATTTAACCTTTAAGGTTACTGCTGAACACTATACTACAAAACTGGCACATTCTGTAATACAGTCACTGTATTACAGGCCAAATACTACAGAGCTGGAAGCTGGTAAATTTCTCTATTTTATTGTTTATACAGTCCAATTTAAAAAGGTAACAAATTATTAAATAATCCTATCCAAAAGGAAAGAAAATTATTTAACAAAATTAACTACTCAATTCCTAAGTGGCTGAAGTACATAGAAGAAAAGATAACTGGTTTGGAAGGATTTTTTTTTTTTTTTCCATTAAAAAAGCGCCAATTCCATAGGGGGAAAATGTAATTTCAACCTGAATAACTACTGGTATTCCTCTTCTTTCACTCACCTCTTCTAATTAGCTTTGCTTTATTTACCTTCTATTGTGGTATGTCATTAAGGTTAACACCTTTCTTTCATATTACACAACAATACAAAATTAATTTGGAGGACAAGATTCTAAACAAATACCAATAAGCTAACTAGTGGTTGTAAAAATTTTCTTCACTCCTAGAAAGGTGAAGGAAGAGCAGAGAGGAAAAAAAAAGTTAAAAGATGCTTGATTTTTGTTCCTATTGTTCTTAAATGGTTTTCTCTCCATGTTGTCCTTGCTTAATTCTAGAAGCTCTTCCCCTACTCAGGGACAGCTGCATGGCCTGGGCAAGACAGTCAGTCATGCTAATCAAAGATGTAAAGAGATCTGTACCCCCTGCACAGCTGCACGGAGACAGATATGTAGCAAAGGTGTAACACCAGGCAGTGTGATAATAGCTGCCAGACCATTAATACAGACATTGTAATGTTAGTTATATGCACCTATATATCATTAAACAAATAAAACTGACAGAAAATGTATTTGTTGGCATATTGAGAGAAGTGAAGCTTGTATTAGTGGCTGTTTGGCAGACATTCATTATAAACATTGACAAAATTTATTTCAACATAATACTTTGAAAAACTACAACCAGCTCCTCCACCAAATTACATTCCCAGAAAAGTGAAAATGAAAAATACTAGTAGCTGATCAGCATTTCTAATGTGCTGAATGACCCTCCTGGGTTCTTATAATAGGGGAGAAGGTAATATATGTATGTTATATACATTTTTTTTAAAGTGCAAGACCCTTTCTCATGTATAGCTGTCTTACAGGAAATATAAAGGAAATATTCCGATTATTTCTAGCACTATTATATATACTCCACTTTCAATGCTTGATGCTACACCATCAGATTAAATGGGAGTTAAATTTAAAAAAATACAGTTAGTAAGAACAAGCAAGAGACAAATTTTAAAATGCCTTCAGGAAAAATATTCTCAAGAAAAACATCAGGAGTCCTTAAGCAAACTCCTAGAAGCTATTGATTATGAGTTGCCAAATTTCTACACATTCTCCAAAAGGTGGAGGTCTGAAGACATGAAATACAGTAAATTGTTAAAATCCCTGCCTATGGAAGAAGTGAGGTAAACAGCTATGCTGTTCACAGGGAAAATAAGTTAGAAAGGATAAAAGCAACTGCAGAACAGACTCAGCCCCAAAACTAAGGATATTTGAGCTAAACAGAACCTACCAAAACATATCAGAAAGAGTACCTAACTTAGGTGTGGTTTTCTGTTTGGTTTTGATTTGTTTTTTTAAACACTTTCTTTAACAACTATACACTTCATGTGAATAAATATTATATCCACTTGTGAAAGAACTGCTGAAAGTCCCTTTAATCAGCTACTGGTCAAACATGTTAATGGGAAATTTCTGAGTCAAATAATGCTAGATCTGTCATGTTTATATGGCAGGGAAGCAAAACAGAAAAATAATTGAAAGCTAGACTTCACAATACAAAGCATTCAGCTGCAAGACAAACAAAAGATACTTCTGCTCCCATAGATCTGATCTCCTCTTTCTCAACCCCTAGCACCGCACACTGTGCCCCTCAATTAAGACAGAATGACCACTGTAGGTGCTGCAGTCTGAACTACATCTGAGAGATGATCCAAGTAAAAATTTCAGAAATTAAGATTCACAACAGCTTAAGTAATATAAAACTGGTTTGCTAGAATCAGCCACACTCTCAGCTTCCCTTGTGGCAAGTCATAATCCTTCAGCCTCTCCTAACACAGGCACCAGCACTCTTCCAGTCGTGCAGTTCAGGAAGCTGATCCTGCCAAAAACTTACCCTCCAAAAACAGCAATCCATTTTAAGGGAGCTTCTTTTAGTGAATTCGCCATGACGTGCAGCAGCACTACCGCCAATGTAAGAAAGGGGGTGGGAAGTATGACACCACAGCAGCCTAGATTTCAATCAGTCTGAAATGTGCTTAGAAGTTTTTTCCTTTTTGTTTTAAATTGAATCAATCCCTGACATGGTCCCAGTGTGGTCCCACATTCAGTTGCACTGGCAAAATAGAAAAGGTGGAGCTGTACAGCACAAGTCAGAAACAGAAGGGAAGAGTACTTGCAACTGGCACTGCCACTTGAAGGCTTCTGATGACAAATATCGGGCACAGAATATTTATGAATTCAAGGGTTTGCCCGCAGAAAGGAGGAAAGCAAAGTTTGCCTCTTGAGGATGAATGTAAGATGGCTACTACAATGTCCTGGAGCCAAGGCTACCTATCAGCCATGAAAATATGCCTCATTTTCAAATAAATTGAAGTGGGCTGAAATACTTCAGACAGATGTTGAAAGACCTGTTCAGAAAAGAAAAATATACAAATAACATGTATTAGCCTTTTAAACAAGTTGGAGATTTACAGCACTGAAACATGCATTCAAAATCTTTAGAGATTAAATGTGAAGTGTGACCAAGAAAATTCCCTTCACTTTCAAGTATCAACCTTTTCTCTCAAAAGGGCTGCAATCCTCACAGCACAGGGAACACTTACACAAGGCATACTTCAGGGGATATTTACTTAAAAAGTGGCAAGAACTGTGTCTCATTAATGACATTCAAAGATCTTCAAGGGAGGGAGACCCAGCTCTTACCAACTCTTTTCCACTGAACTGACTGCACTGACCTTGCCTGTAATTACAGAGCAATTTCTTTCCCATAGGAACATTCAGCAGCCTGCAAACATCCCTCGAGCCTGCAGCAGTTCCAGCTAGTTCCTAATTATCTCCAATATCTGCCCACAGGCTCTTTGAATACTTCCTTATGAACATACATTGAAGTTCTGATGTCCTCCCCCAAAATCCCAATACAACTTTGTATGGGACACATGTACTGCAACACTGGAAACAAAAACATAAAATAAAAAAAGGAGGGGGAGATGAAGAAAATAACAGAAGCCATTAGTTTTTAAAATTCAGAAGAGCCTCATAAACAGTAATTATTTCTGTTGGACAGCAAGACCTATTTCAGTCAGAAATCTGATAATTGCTGCAAAGCAGTTTGCGTGCAGTGTGTTACAGCACGGAAAAACGATGCATCAGCCTGCGGGGAGGGAGCCCCTGGTGATGCCTGCAAGCTGCATCATAGGTGTGAAGTGGATTGCTGGGATGAGCTTCCCATCAAGCAGCCCTTTGCTCACCACAGGCTGCTCAGCTACAGCTGTGAAGCAAGACACTTCTCACACAGGAGGCTTTCAATGGGTTGGACTTATTTTTATTTTTTTCTTCTTAAATACGAAAAGAAGTGTTGCAGTTTTCAAAGAACTCTGGTTTCTCAGTCTTTGGCTCTGAGACGAAGAACTTAACTCTAGTCCTGACTGTCCCTCAAACGTGTCATAACTGAAGATTTCGGTCTGTGTTGGAGAACTTGCACCCACCTCACGACCACTGCTTAGGGATCTAGATGCAGAGGAGGGATACTCCTGCCCTCACAATAAAGAAATGCAAAGCTAAGGAACAGCTTCACCTCCTCCCCATACCCATCCCCTTTTACTTCAAGTTCCCCGTTTTAAACTTGAGGTTCTGGAAGTTTGTGCCAAGGTCTCTAGGTTAAAAGAAGCATATAACATCATGAAGACATACAGACTTGAAGAGTTGTCACTTTAGAGGCAACCTTGACAAGCAAGAGTCACTGAAGAGGCCTTTGTAAAATCCAGGAGCTTTAAATGAATGCTTGCAGCAAAGCAAAGACTTCTGTACAAAAGTGAGTTGTTTCACCAGCAAGACTCAAAGGGCATGAGATTAGCTGCATACATAGGTGCCAAGTTAGGTGAATAATGTTTTCAAGTTGCTCTGTCTGCATTAATATGCCAAGTGTTGACTGGTCACCTGTACAGAGAGAAGCAAGGAGGCCAGCAAGAAGCAGGCATCCTCTACACACAGTCATGGTCTAGTGGGTAAGCCAAAGGCAGGAAGGCAGATTCACACCTAGGTAAATCAGCACAGCAGTCTTGTGTCCAAGTAGTTTACTTTGTAAAGGTCTTCACAATTATGATTCTCTCTTCATCCTGGCCAGATGTTCCTGCTAGACATATGAAAGATTTAGGTAGATAAAATATAAAATTTTGAAGTAGGTATAAAAAACTGTACTATGCTGTAGTGGCAAACAGCTCTATTATTCTTCTTGCATGACTGTGACACTACAAGCTTTCTAGTAAGAAGTCCATAATAGGTAAAAATTGCAGATTACAGAGGTATTCATCGGAAGGACAGCTATCAAGGATTGTGTCTTCGATTTTCTTAATACAAAACTATGTTAAAATGATCACAGATGAAAATGAATAAACAGGGGAAAAGGAGCAACATGAGTTATTTTAAATAGGAAGTCTGAACAGTTCACTTTAATGCTATCACTGTAAAAAAGAGACTACTCAACTTTTGTTTATAAAATTAATTTCTACAATTAACTAAAAATTTAGCTGAGATGTCAATTCCTCCCATTCAACTTTGTCAATCTGCTATTGAAAGGTATAATTTTTAATATAAAATTTATCCATTTTATATTGTATTGATATATCTATTTCTAATTAACATGTTAACATCACAAGATAGACAGACTTCATGTAATTCATTTAGCTCTGTACATCTACCAGATAGTGCTTGCTTCTAACTATAGTCTCTATGAATTTATACAAATGCTCTTCCATTGAACATTCAGGTTTCACCAAGAAAGTAAACAAATGTAAATTTGTGGGGTTTTTAAAGTAAAAGTAATATTCTCACTACTTCCTAGCTAGTCCTCTAATTTTATTTCTTTTTTTTTTTTTTTCCAGGAAGTCATATAAATGCAGTAGCTGTCAAACTTCTTGGACCAAATTATTTCTCTTCCTCAACACAAAACTCTCAATGCCTTTCAGCATCTTTACCTAACCTATGCTTGCAAGATTTCTTTTTTTTAATAAAGCTCAGATTCAGAATCTACAAAGCATGAAAACCAAAAGGGAAGATTCATCACTGCAGTTAAATCTATACCTTTTAGATAAATATTCACACAGAGCTAATACATTCACATGCACACAAAGCTAAAGCTATCGACAACTAAAAAGTAAAAAAAAAAAAAAAAAAAATTCACTGGCATTCTTTGTTTGGATTGTCCTGTTTTCCATTGCCAGGTTTCACCTTACTGCCTTTCCCAAGAAACACAAGGACCTTCAGATGATGATGGTAAACTTTTCAAAACAGCCAGAGAAAAGACTGACTTGACTGAAGAACGTCAGCTTTGTACATTTTCTCCTTCATTTGAAAACTTGGATTTGGAAAACAATATGATTGCATTTAGTAGATGATGTGCTACTTAGCAGGCTGCCTCCGCTAAAACTGACAAATACAGGTGATACTCCTGCAGTCATGCTTTGCTCATGCAAAGGTTGCCTTTTTTTTTATTTTGGAATATGACTATAAATTCCATCATGTTTGTAGACTCTAGCCAAAAGTAACAGTAAGAAGATAAAAGAAATCCAAGGTAATTTCATAAATAATATAACTCTGATCTAAAATTTTCCAGCTATATTACATAGTCACTTTTTTCCTTCTGTGACTAGACTTACACAAACTTGTTTCAGTACAATTTTTTATTACATAAGTACTTCACAAAATACCTCCAGAGCTGTATAAAAGCCTAATATTTACTATACTAAGTGCTATTTCTGTATGTCTATGTGAAGGGGTGAAAAAGCAGACCAATCAGAGGAAAAAAACCCAACAAACTGGTAACATATAATCCATCCTGATCATTCCCTCTATAAAACTCAACATCTGTATTGAAGGTTCTTTTTCTGTATTGAAAATGTCTGCTTGCAAAGTGCTCAAGGAAGATTCTGCTTTTTCTGGTAAGCAGCTTGGCAAGGTAACATCCTAATCTTGCAGTGTCAGTGGTCCCCTTGAGCTTACAAAGTCTATTAAAACAAATTACATTAAAACATCTTTTTCAGGATTTCTATTCTATAGCTTAAGAGGGTCAGTATATTCCAGTTTCTTTTTAGATTCAAGGAACATAAGACAGTATACTACTTCAGTATCCAATGCTGTCATGACACCTCAATACTTTCTCCATTAACTGTGTATTATGCACAGACCACAAAATAACAGGAGGTTACTAGGAGAAAACTACATGCTTTCTTACTACCTATACTAGCCAGGTTGCAATGAAATCAACATTTCAGCATCTGCTTGAAGCAGCCATTACATTTGATCTGTAGTAGATGGATGCACAGAACAAACATTACTTGGACAAAAAGGTAAAACATACAGAATTTCATAAAGCTGATACAAAGCTTCTGAAATTAAGTAACTCAAGAGTGACATTTTAAGAAAATTCTATCCCAATAACTAAAATTATGTATTACTTTGCATTTACTGTTCTACTGAATGACAGCATGAAACAAAGACAGCTGATGAACAAACAGAAATTATAATATCAGAATACAAAAATTATATTCCTAACTATTAAAAGAATGAAAAATCTAAATTAAACATGGGAAAATCTAGTTCATCAGTGATTCTAAAACCTCAAACAATACCTGACACAGATGCTGAATCAACCTACCAACTCTGGATTGGGCTGGTTGATTAAAAAGATGTAAAATATAAAACAAACAAAATAATCTGTTATACTTGGTATATAATCCAAAGATTATATGTCTGCCTGAAATCAGCCTATTTCTTTCTAAAAAGTTATAAAACAAGGCATTACATGTAAATACCCTATCACAGCAACAGCTGTATTACTGCTGCTGCTATTTTTCCTTGTGTCCATACTGTAACGTATTTCTCTCATACAAGGGGCTGTGTAATGCTTGTGCCACCGGTCAAAAAAGAACATGGAAAGGCTGCCAGGATTATCTGAGAGAAGAAGGATGAGTAACTAACTCGTAATGTTCCCAGGATGAGCATTTCAGTGCATTAATAAAACTGCAAAGCCATAAGGGAGCATAAGGAAATGGCATACAATGTTCCAAACGTTAAATATACCCTTAAATAACTGTAACATGGACAATGAATGAATAAATGTTCCACAATAATCTTGAAAAAAGCAAGCCCCCAAAGACGATTATCATATAAAAACAAATAATTTTAAGAATTAATGCACCTGACAGATTTGTAGTATGTCAGTTATATCTTCCAAATATTCCCCACAGTGTCACTGCTACAGTAATCCATCCAAAAATGTATCACTAGGAATGGGAGTAAACAACATTTTACTGATGGGTAACCACAAAACCCATAAAACAAATATTCCATCCTTTCCTGTCCATCCCTACTGGATACAAAGTCCTTAAGCAAGTAAACCCCAAAAGATGCGTACGTGGCACTTAAGGGGCCTGCTAACAAAATCAAATTTTCTTCCCCTTGCTCTCAAGAATGATCAAAGTATAGAATTAGGCTTAGGAGCTCTCTAAAACTTCTTTCCTGTTTCCATCCACACAGATATTCTATCCTTGGTATTCCAAGACAGCTATGAATTGTCTGCAATGCCTATCTGGTCCATTAATACCATATCCAATCTATCAGATTTCTTTTTAGCTGCTTAACTACAATTAGCATCTGAAGCAAAGTACTCTGAAGTCTTGGAACTGATGTAAGCAAAAAAGTGTACCACCTCATATTCACTAAAGCTTGACAAACTAAAGCTCAAAAAAATATGTTAAATTGATATTTCAGTTGACTGAAATGAATAACATGACTTTTTACAAATGTAACTCACAGGCTTTGGTTTGCACTTGTATGTTTACAAATTTTAATTTGAGATTAAGAAATCCTTCTCACAGAGAGCAATATGAACAGTAAAATAAAGCAAGACACTGCTAGATTCTAGACAGACATACCAGAGCAATGAAGAGCTGCAGGGATACAATTACAGTATCTTCTGCTGGGCAGTCTCCCACTGGGATGGGGAGCACATACACTGGCATGTTCTACACTAAAATCATGTTTGCTTCTTATATAGAGCCTTACAGATGTTTTAGGATTAGTCTTCTACACGTTTCAACATTTTAATTTATCAGAATGTTTAAGCAGAGCATATCAAGGCACTTAGAGTTTCGTAACATTCCCCCATGCAATGTGTTCTGATTCTTGGATCTGTTGCTCTCCTTGCAAAAGCCAAAAGCCAAAGTACAAAGCAACTGCTATGGGTTGATAGCAAATGCCCTTTATTGCTGCTTCTCAGAACTGTACCCAGACCACCCAGAGCTCTAACAGGTAAAAAAAACCCCAAGCCTATCTTCTGAACGGCCATGTGCAGTTGCAAAGAAAATCAGGATACACACATAGGTCATCCGTTCTGTTCGACATTCGTTATTGATTTATTTGCTCTGAAGCAGACCTACAAATAATTGACACCTAATCAATTTTCAAAAAAAGCTTCTGTAATTACATCGGTATGCCCTAAGGAAACACTACTGCATTTGTCATATCAACCTTCTATGATTCAAAAAACTAGTCCTGCTCTTCCCACAAAATTAGTAATACTAAGAGAGCTCCAACACTCTTCAACAGAAGAGCTGATACATGACTGACAGAATTACCATTATCAACGGTAATCTAACAGCTTTATGACATCTCGTCTCTTGAAAAACAAAGTTTTATGGCAAAAGTAGTAGTACATTCAGTATACAGTAAGACAGGATTGCTTCTATAAGATCTTTCTCACTACCTACAATGCCTTGAATGCACACATTACAAAGTCTTTTTAGCAACCCTGTAAGATAGGTATGATTCCTGTTGTAACATATGAGGAAACTAAAGGTACAATCCTGCAAGACAAGCAAAGTGTTCAAAGCAGCCTATGCTACAAGAAAGACTTCTTAACCTCCACCACCTCTATAACCCACCCTTCCTAGATCGTATTGGCCCTCCTCCTTCTGTTCACTGCTGGGTGCCTGCCTGACATCTCCTTGTGCAGACTCAGTTTCCTAAAACATCAGAAAAATAAAGTGAGGAGTATTCTGTGGCCTCAGGGAACTGGATCAACTCCAAAGGTTTGGATGAGTGCTGGAGCTGAAGCAAAGGAGCAGGCAGGACCCACAAGACTTAAGTGCAAGGAGACTTCAGAAACAGGAAAGTGTTAGATCAGCTCAGCTGCACCATGAAACTTCCCCGTGGGACAGAGCTGGACATCCTCCTTAATACTGAAGGAAAAAATAGCATTGAAATAAGAAGAAAGGGTTTACCATTACTGGCTTCCTGTCTGTGCTACAATCCTATCATCACTGAATCTGGCTCATCTGATGTTTTCCTGCCCACTTCCATCCTGCTTCAAAACTTACCTATTTTGGATCCACAGGAAAAGCCATAATCACCATTGTGCTTTTTGTTCTCATATTTGAAAATATCCACCAATATTTGGTGAAATGCATCTTGTGTCAAAACACTTCTCCTGCAGTTCACTGCAGATGGACAGATACTCAGACCAAGTTAATTCAATCATCAAGCAAGAAAATTTGATCTAAATACACAATTTTAATTTGATTTTGCATTTCTACTCTTTTCTGAATGAAAGCCTGTTACTAGATAGTAACTTTAAATTGATGCTGGTTTGCAAGTAAACAAAGATTATATCTCATATTTGTTATTTGTTTTTTCTAACTTTAATGCTATAATACATTCACATTTAAGTAATTACATAATTTAAACACACATTTATTCAGATTGATGATTTTCCTATTTGATGTTAAAGAATGATAAATGGTCTTTCTCACTTTCTGGACCAGGTGTTCTCCAAACTGCCATATATGCACCACTGACACACAATATATGCATACGTAAGACTGCAAGTTTGAAGTGTTGTAAGACTCAGCCTAGAACAAGGAGTTACCAATGCCAACGGTCAAATTCAATGTCACTAATGTTGTTGGGGCTAGCAAAAAAATGTTGCAATTTTTTAAAGGATTACATTTTAGGATTATCCAAACTCACAACTGTATCAAGTCAGTTTCAAAGGAAAGTAGAATCCCATTTACACAAATTCAAGTTTTACAAGATTTAGAGAGAATTACTAATAAAATAACATTACATTACATGTTTTAGATTCATATGCCTCTACTAATCATGTTTTCCACTGAAAATGATTTTTTTTATTATTTTTTTTTTTTAAGTAAAAGAAGCGTGATCTTTAAGCTCGTGAACTGAGGTGACTTTCTGGATACTACATCACTATATCAGTAGAAATAGAAATAGCTGATCTCAACATCACATTTCATTCTTATTACATTTTGTAAGCAGAAAACAATCCTTTTCAGTTTCTCCTTTAAAAAAAAATGACATAAACTACACTGAAATAAAGACGCAATTTTCTATCTATGCCTACTGAAGAAAATCTGTTGCAGACTGATCTGCCCCTTCAGCAAACTGAATCCAATTATTTACCCAGCAATTTACTTCATGTCAGTGATGTGATGTACTTCAAAACTTCACTAAAACAAAAATTTAAGCAATACATACTCATATTACCTATTAGCAAAGCTATTTTATTTAAATTTGGCAACTTATGTTGAAGGCTAAATTTACCACAACAGACTTAGACAGAAAGTTCCACTTAAAAATAGTATCTTTTTATATCCATTTTTAGCTACCCTGTAAATGCTCTCTAACATATCATAGTGGGGAAAAAAAAAAAAAAAAAAAAAAAAAAAAAAAGACTTTTGGCTATGGCATTGTCAGAAAGGCTCCTCCTCCATTACAAACCCAGGTCTGCACTTCCATCACAACACAAAAAGGTCCTGAATCTCAGTTTAAAAGCTGACAATGAAGATAAAACCAAGCTAAAAAGCCAAATCCTAAAGCAAACTGCATGAGGTACAGGCACACATTCTCTTCTAATCATTCAGCAGCAGACTGGTGATAGTCTCTAATAGGTACAGCAGGGGAAGACATATCAAACTGTCACAGCCAGACGGATATATTTTGTCTGCTAAAGCCCTTTAGACATATTTCTTCTCTTTCTTTAAAACCTCAGGAAAATATAAAGTCTTCATATCTCAAATCTCAACATATACAAGTTTTCAGATGGATGAATATGGCATAATCAGTACCTGTGTCAGGTTCATAATAGAGGAGCTATGGAGAAATTATTATTTCTACTTTCCCCTCCCCCCCTCAAAGCCATCTATGTATAAATACATGAGAAGAAAAATGGTAATGGTTATTTGTAAAACCTTGTAGTGTCATATGGCAGCAGTGGGTCAAACTTTAGAAGATGGCTTCAACCTGAGCAGTGACTGATCTGCTTCCTACCAGGTGAGACATCAGGTCATGACAAACATTATCCTGGTCACATAGCTAATGACAGAGTTGGAGGGAATCCCTCTAAGAGGAAAGCAGAGACACAAGGAACAAGTTTCCTTCTGGGAAAATGGGGTGAATTAAGGTCATACTTAGAACAGGCAGGTGGTTCACAGGGTAAAAAGAGCACTAGATTAACATGTGGAATTCACGCAGTTTTATTTTGTAGCCATGATGCTAAAGCTCTTGGGCAAGAGGCCCAAATCAGACTTCAGGCATAGTATCAGTTTCCTGGACTGAGTAACAGGCCAACAGCTTGTACATACATACTACAGAGCATCATCTGCCATCTCGCACAAGGGATGTTTAATTAGCCTCGTAGGGATACAGCGTCTGGGGGGAGGGGGTGGAAGAATCTGTGTTCTTCATTCTTGTAACAGCATTTGTAAGACACTTCTACACTCAAAAAAAAAAAAAAGAAAACAAAACCAAAGTTATTGAAGCATTTTTTTATTAGCATGCCAAGGAAAAGCTAAATCATTTAACATGAGAAATTACATGTTCATAAAATCCACTAAGCAAGACAATCCTGTCTCAATAAATTAGACACTTTAAGTTCACATAGGGAAATAGCAGCATATTATTAGAAATACAATGTACAATCAGCAATTAAGCGAAACAGATAATATGCTGATGAAAAAATTAAGATGTCAGTGATTCTTTTCTTATTATTCCCATAAAGACCCAACTGATAGAAGTGTACAATAGGTGTTTTCCTTAAAAAACTGATACAGATTGCAAATTCCCGAGAGGAGAGAGTGTGTTATCCTCATGCCAGATTCTTTCCAGGAACATTTTTGGCTATCACTGTAATCATATACCATGACTGGGGCTGGGGAAACAGGACAGGACAAACAAATACCTCTGACAACTCATATGTCCGTCTCAACCTAAAACATTTGTATAATACCAACAGCTGAATTTCATTTTTTGTTTCTGTACAACACATACATGCACCAAAAAACAGCAGTGGAAAGCAGGAAGCAACCTTTCCAACTGATCAAGGCCTAGGTTCAGCTACATATGTCTTCATATGCTCAAGATATGAACACCCTACGATACCTTGCTGATTTCAGGTATAACCACAAAGAACCAGGGCATTTGACTGAAGTATATTATGACTATACTACACAAAATCAATTTCAATGATACTAAGGATCTAACAAGCCACCAACAATAAACATTTCTTTTCTAGCTGAGAAAGCAAGCTGCTGTGTGGCAGCATTTTCAGGCTTTCCACTGACATCATGCTAAGAAAGAGGTAATTGTTCCAAGGCAGATTTAGACTTATCACCAGCACGAGGGAATGTCTTGTTTATAATTAGACTCATCAATAAGGATTTCAGAATCTAGAGGACAAAAAAAAAAAAAAAAAAAAATCAAACACAGGAAAAAACAGACCTACTATAGGAATAACCTAAGATTTTGCCCATTTTGTTTGTAAATGCCAGAAAAATTCTGCAGAAGATACTCCATGTGAACAGGTGCTAGGACAAATAACTCATCATTTGAAGCATCATGTTTCTAAAGCCTTTGATCCTTCAAACAGTAACGACTATGGGACATCTCTATATGAAGTCTGAAAACCTTAATATAAGAGAGATTATGGCTTTCAGAGCAGTGGTATACACCGTTTTTTGTCTGAATAGTGTTTTTACCAGTTCCGGGCCTGAAACTTTCCAAAACACTGAACAAAAGGTCTTTGGCTGTCAGTTCACAGCAAGTGTGCTATAAAGTGTACTAGATATCCTAATGCTGCCAAACAAGCTGTGCACTTCTGAGAGTTTTATTTGGTGTGGGCACCAGTATCTCCCACAACTTTTCCCTCCCTATTATCACTTATTTGTACTTTAAAATGAGCAGCTTTGAAATATCCTGCCAGAAAAGCTTGGAAGAGAAGGCTTGAGTACCATGGTACAGGCCACCTAACAAACATCAATCTAGAGAGTAAAAACCTTAACGGTCTCACTTTGAGGAACTACGCACAGAATCAACTGCATAGCCACAGGAGCTTGTCCTGAAAGAAAAACTCAAAAATGCAGAGGGACAAGGCAAGAAACATGACAGCATTATCATCTTTTGATGAATTAAATCCCTGAGAGATCCCTGAATTTACTCAGCTACTCAAAGAAGGCAAGTAAATCTCTGAAGAAAGAGAATAATTCTCTCAAAAAAAATAGAAAGGAAAATGATAGGTAAATAAGACACATTACAAAGAGAGGTAGCAAGCAGCTCAAGGTGAGATACCCATGAAGATTCACACAACTTGAGAAACTTAGCGAAGAAAATTATCATGAAAGAATACAATTTAGCTCACTGCATTTTTTCATGCCATGTTTTGTTTGTTCAGTAAAATTTCTGAATAAACATCTGCATCAAAACACTGTTAAACCTCAAGATGAGAAGCACAGACCTTGACTTTTCTTACCCCTCTCGGTGACCTAAAGAATTTTATCTTTGCCTCTTTGCCTTGAGGTACTATTCTCCTCTTCACAAGGTCTCTACCTATACCTACATGCAAGAAAAAAAACATACCTATTCACAGTTGATTACATGAGCAAACCAGCTTCATACCTGCGTCATGAATTTAAGTCTAACAATAATAGAAAATCCCATAATTACTTTCTCTGAAAAGAACACTTTTCTAGTTTTAACCTAAGCACTCAACTTCACATAATGCAAAGACAGAGCTGTGCAGAGTTTATGCTACATAACCTCGATGTTTAATTCTTGTCTCAACAAATCTATGGCATGGAGAAATTGTATTTTGTATATCGTATACTACATAGTTCAAACATAAATCTGGAGCATAACAGCTGAGTAAGTATTAAAGGAAATTATTTCTGGAGGACAGATGCCTTGTTCCTATAATAATCCCAAACAGGTAGGATCAGACTCTTCAACAGAAGAGTATCCC